TATGCATTCATGAGTGAGTGTGTGTATAAACGCTGAATAATGGCCTAGCCTAAATTTATTGTCATTTTGTGTAAAATTTGTGATGCTGCAAATATAAATATAATGGGACTCAAACACGCACGCAGGCATAGCATCGAAGAACATGTACTACTTATACATAGTATATGCCAACTGAAAGGAAGTGAGGCCACGCGTGCTTTTCGGTTATCATACAACCCATTAAACGATCTGCATACATACGTACATATGTAGGCATGTAGTTATATAAACATCTGGTTATATGCTATTTATTAAGACTGCAGACCAACACACGCTCCATTTTCTCTTCATTCTTAGGTACAACTTATGCCCCACCTTATCACGCTCACCTTTGACATAGCAATCCACTTCATTCTCGCTCTGGTATCTTTTCTCTTTTGGTTGCTTTTTTTATTATTTATTTACGAGCTTCATGAATTTTTTATAGCATTGAACATATGTAAATGGCTGTTTCGTACCTATATAAAATATGTACATACCTGCAATGAAAAAAAAAGATGTGAAGAATGTTAAAAAATGTTTATACAACAAAAAATTTAAGAAAAAATGGAAAAATCTGTATAAGAAAAAAAAATCAACCTTAATTTATAAAAGTAAAAATATCGGTTAGAGATGAATTAGCCTTTCGCAACACACATACAATGATTATAATTTTATAAAAGCACTTTTTCATTTCGCTTACAGCAGCAACGAATTTCCGCGAAAGGGTTGCTTCAGATATGCACCACAAAAAATTACCCGAAAAGTGTGCCAACACCGCCCTTTATCTCATTTGCTTTAGCCGCCTTGTCATCCGCTGCTTTGCTGGAGTTTTGTTTTTTTTTTCTTCCTTCCCTTTCATTTGTCCTTTCTGCTTTATTTGGCAAGCAATATGATGAAAGGATTTAGATAAATTATGCAACGCACATAATTGAAAGTGGTAGCTTTGCTGTCGTCGGCTGCTGCCAACGCTGGGGTTATGTAAAAAGCAGTGCATACTTTAAGGCCGTTGGTACTTAATTAAGATAATTATTTGGGTTTTAAAATGGCTGGACAGATTTAATTTCGGAAAATTGATTTACAATTTGCGGTGGTTTTTAATATCTACTATTAATCGTATAACTATAACGGAGTGAGGAGCGGTGAAAGTTGATTAAGGTATGCACTTGAATCTTTATCGTTTTTGTTTTAATTTTTCGTCATACTTGCCAGTAGTTTCAATAATTCCGGTTAGGAAAGAGTGTGATCAAAGAAAAACACACATATCGATATACAATATTTTTCTTATAAAGTCAAAATCTACATTCGTATTGTATGCATTGGGGTGATTGCCGGTGTTTCCAAAATTTTTGAACCGTTTTTCTTTATTTTTTTATTTTTTTCATATAGTGATTTTTCGAATATCGAGTTCTGTCATCGAAAAAACACGCTTTTTCATCTAGAATAGAATTGCATCTTCAAATTCACTATAAATTCATTATATGGGAAGTTCCATGGGAAACTGAACTTCACTGCAAAAATTTTTTTTCTGTTTTGTAAACATCTTGAATAAACCAAAAAATAACAACTTAAAGCTTTAAATGCATTTTTATTACTTTTTTACCTTTCTTAAATCTCAGAAAATTTTTTGAGTCAGTTTAAAGTAGGTTGAGTTGAAAGTATTGTCAAATAATTTGAAGTTAAAATTTTTTGGTAGAGAAGAAAACGTCATGGGTTACACAAAGTGGAGGGATCTACAGTTTTACGCCGACTCCAAACGGCGATTGTATTTTTATGGGAGGTTTGCCATTGCCTGCCGAGGGACGACCGCTGTTAAGAAAAAACCTTTTTTCTATATTTTTTGCGATGTTGCTTTGACCAGGGCTTGAACCCAGGCATTGCGGAGTGAAAGCGCGCACTGCTTCCCACTACACCACAGCGGCCGACAAGCTACTTAGCAGAAAAACACACCAAATAAGTTTGATCGGTTTTACTATGCTATTTGCATTTGTGCATTGGCAATATACATTATAAACAGGGATTGCAAAAATATGCCAGAAAAAAATGGAAAATAAGCGCTATAAAAAGCTCGAAAAATTACCAAAATATGCTCTTAAGAATGCTAAATCAATAAAGTTTTATTTAATTTTTTAAATGTTTTATTCGACAATCTCCTACAAGGTGGTAGCAGAAGTATAAAAATATACACTGGCAAAAGTGAGGGCATGGTGTGTTTTGAATAATATTTGCAACGTTTTTCAAGTTCGTGCTTTAATAGAAACCACATAAGCCAACTCTTATACAGAACTAGCAGACCCAGCGAACTTCGTCCCGCCCAAAATTAATTTTTTTATTGAAATATTTTGTCCAACGTTTTCGCCAGCAACTCAAGTTTGTTTGGTTTTGTGGTCGACAGAAGGCATATCCCCATGGCCGTCTTAAAACACCTGACGAAAGCGTTATACCGAGAAGAAGTCCTTGCGGCTCGATAGTGAATCGTCCTTGAATCTATATAGTATAGTTGGTGGCAATTTACAAACTGGTGAGTCCACATTCTGTTTAGTCACCGTAAAGCAAGGACCGCAATGGTTCTGATGGTTGATTTAACGGGAGTAATTTAACTTTGATCCCTGTGCCTCCGAATCGACGATTTTTAGCAATAATTCGGTCCCAGTGCCACTAAAAATTATCATTTAAATCGTTTCGGTCGTTAAGGAGGAGTTAAGCCACCAGAATAAGTCTTTTACTTACTGACACTTTTCGGCATTTTTTCCCATACAAAAAAACTCTCACGCATTCGTTATACGGAGAAAATGCGCAACATCATCAGCGAAAAAAATTCTCAAAAATCAACAGTATCTTATAGCCATTAAAAACTTGCACTTTATGATACTGAAATTGAGTGAACTACAAAACTGCATATTCAAAATTTGGTACAAAAAAAATTATTTAGAAAAAGAAAAAAAAACACTGTATTCTGGGTGTATATATTTACAGATAGCTAAAAGTTTCAATAAGTTTGGAAATCACCACTTCCCTTTTCCGGTAGACCCAAAATCTCTATACCAATTTCCAGGACATTACTACAAATACTTTCAGAGATATACGGTATGAAAAATTCGATATGCATAGACCTTCTCAAATATTGCAAAAAACGCGATTTTTTTACACTTTCACCACATTTTTCTCAAAATCTGGATCTGATGGAAACATTATACTTACGTATTCTTAATCAGCACATAAAAATCTGTCAAAAATAGCGTTAACATTTGCTGCATCAATTTTTTTTCCATTTTTGTTGGCCTGTGGTATTGTTAAATAGCCAATACCCGGACCATTAATAAGACTGTTTCGAATAGTTCGGTCTCTGACCCACTTAACGGAAAAAATGAATCCTATATGCTAATCTAGGCAAAAGGCTACCAACGAACCACCTGCATTTTTTTAAGCATAGCTCGACCTTTGCGCCAACTATCGGAAAAATTAAAACTTTGTGTACTCCTTCTTCTAAACACGTTTCCAAAAGAGCAGCACCCATCCGAATCAGTTATGAAACATAGGAGAAAATTGTTCGCAATTGATTCAAACTCCCAATGAATTTCACAATTATCCGAAATTTTCCAAGCTTTCGTCGAAAAAAATTAAAATTTTTTGCGTTCTTCCGGATTTTTCTGAGTTTTCCACTTAGAATTTTCTATTTTTCCATTCGAATGCCATTCCGAAGGCATTTTTCCAATTTTCCGACTTTCCCTGAGGGGTTTCCCAAAATTTTCTTTCGTAAAAACCTTCTCCTGGCAATTACGAACAACTAAAAAAAATTTAAGCTAAATCGGTCCGACCGTTCTCAATTGATGAATTACTATACATTTTTCACACCATTTTTATATATATAGATTTAGAAAAATTCAACAAATTTTTGTCTAAATTTTTAACTTTTTAATCAGAACTTTTAGAAAAATTTTGAGAACGTCGATAGATCGGTTAGTAAAACAAGTGGCTAATAAATCGCGCTGATTTTTAATGAATTTTTTTACTGATGGATTTTGCGGTTTTATGCATGTAACAAATGTAATTTATAAAATATAGCTTTAATTTTTTAATTTTGTTTGCAAACGGCGTTGCGAATTTAATTCTACAAGAAATTTCCCGTTATGTGGTAAAAAGTGCAAAAAGCCATCAGCAATAAAAAATCATTAAAAATCAACGCGATTTTTCAGCAGCTTGAAGCTTGCACTTGTTTTACTAGAATTAAAAAAAAAAAACCGATCTATCTGCGTACTCAAAATTTGTCTAAAAATTCTGATTAAAAAGTTCAAAATGCAGAAGAAAATTTGTTGAGTTTTTCTAAGTTCTGTATAAAGTTTGAAAGTTTCACTTATGTGGTGTTGATTAAAGCATGAACCATATTTTTATTAAAAATAACAAACAAAATTTAACTTTAAAAGCATTGAAAATATTAAACAAAAAACTTACTTTTGATTGCCTTGTTTCACGAATTTCTATCTGCGATTCTGATATAAAAATCCACCTAAGACTTTTAACTGTCATAACACTAGGACAGATGGGTTCTAACATCACAAAGTAGTTTTGGTGAAAATTCCATATAGAGGGTATTGAATATATAATTTTATTTTTTTATTAAACATAAAGTGCCAGAACATGCTTTTGTTTAATCAGAAGAGAAATAAAAAAAATAAACCTCGTAACGAAATAACTTTTGCAAACACACAAATACGAGTACGGGTAGTAAAAACTGAAAATTGTGCAAACTACTAACAAACTGACATCAGTAAAGCGAACACAAAAAACTTTTACAGAAAGGGGTAGAATTATTTTTAAAAAACAAAAACTTATACAGAACACAGAAAAATAGCGAGCGAGAGCAGCAATTTTAATTTAACTTTTAATTTTTACAACTGCTCGCCAGGTGCACGCTTGGCAAACTTTACGCTTTCACCACTGACGCTACTAATTACAACAATTTATTTCACATTTCATTGCAGGTTCAACAGAAGGTAAAACAAGCCACTGACTGTAGAGTGCTATATTAAAGCAACAAAAACATCAATGTGGCATCCTTTCCGTGCGCACATAAAACTGGCAATGTGATGGTATTTTCGAAACAAACATGCAAAAACAACAACAAGCGCCTTTGTAACACGTCGTAATGATGCTGCTTTATGCCCAGACAAGTACGAGCAAAAACAAAAACAACAACAACAATAAGAACATCAGCCGCAGCAACAGCAACAGCAGTAAAACTAGATGCTACCAGATAACAAGCAACATTAAAAACCAGTAACAAGCACTTGACATTTTTAAAATGTAATCAAGCGTCAACAAGCAGAACGAGCGCGCGCTACTAACATTTTTCAACGCATACATTTAGGCGCGCATACACAGTATTTTTATTTTTTTTTTTGTTTTTTGTTTTCTCCCGTTTGCATTTCAATATTTCCGCATTTTACGAGCGTTTGACATAAGCAAATTAACAATGAAATAAAAGTAAGCAAAAATAAGCGAGCAAACAAACGAACAAACAGCTGTCGCACAACAAGCATGAAAACTGTGAAAGTAAATAAAATTTAAATAGACAGCAACAAAAGCGAACGTGAGTGAACGAACGCCTAAAAGTTGATGGCGGAGTGGTGTGTAGACAAGACGACTTGGCGACCTAATTCAATTGTTTGTTGCAAATGTGCGAAGAGAGTAACTGGACGTGCATAGCGTCAATGGACAGAGCCAAGAAAGTGGGGAAAGCGAATGAGAATCAGATCACAAATAAACGAGTGTCCCAGTGGAAGAGAAATGCCCGCCAGGCATTGAGTTAAATGTTTTTAAATGAATGTGTCTGCAAAAGTTGATATCGCTTACAGAAAGAGCAACAATATGCCCACAATGACGGTAGAAAAAAATTTAAGGTGAATTTTATTTGCTCAAGTCGAAGAAGTAAAGCAGCAGAACGTGACAGAAATTAGCAAGAGAACATTGAACGTGCGCTTAAGTGAGCTACGCGGTGGAATTTACCATTAATCTGCTAAAAATTTAAATAAATAATTTAAGTGGCGGAGTGAAAACGAAATATTTTAAAAGAAAGTGGAGGAAAGGAATTTCATGGAAAAGAAAGTTTTAATTTTTTGTTTACTTTTAACACTAAATAGTGCTGCATACTTTTCAGCGAAGAGCTAAGAGAAAACGATTTAACAGTTGCAGCATACTTCTAGGCTGAAAGGAGAATACTGACAATTTTCTGGCCATAAGAGAAAACCAAATTGTTAATAGCACAGAAAAAAAGCTAAAATGTATAGCACAGTTGGAAAGAAAAAGTGCATTTATTTATAATAAAGTGAATTTATGTAAGAATAAGATAGTGAAAAAATTTTATGTAGCATACTTTCAGGAGCTGCCGAGTTTTTAAATGCCAAATAAGTCAAATATTGCCAAAAAATAAAAAATAAAAATGTTGCAATCATTTAAGTGTTCAAGTATGCTGAAATAATTACACCGTGGTAGGTCTGATATACTTTTAGGCGTTAGAGCGAGATACAAACGTATTATTAGATACACTGAAAGCAGTTAGCACACAAATGAGGTGAATTGCAAAAGTGATTGTGAAAAAGGTGTATAAAAATTATAAATTTAACTAGTTCACAAAAGCTAAAGCGACAAAGTACAGCGGTAATACTTTCAAGCCACCGCTCTTCATTTTCTGCCAAAAATGCACACGTACAGCAAAATGCATCGAGAAATCAGCCCCTATCGACGGACTAGTCTTCCGCGCCACAGCAGCGCGCTCGCAGCGAGGATGTGGCTGCTACTCATAAGCATAGCTCTGTTGACTGCTATTGACCGTAGCTCTGCTGTCACTCAGCTCAAGCTGCTAATCAACGATGACGAACTGCTGATGCAACAACCAAAACCCGTGCCAAACGAAGGACTCAAATCACAATTCGATCATCCAGCAGCGGACGATTCCGGCGAACGACTTAATTTATATCGCAGCGAGTTAAAGCGACTCTCCTACGAGACCATACACCGCATTTTGCGCGATGAAAATGAACCAATCTATAGGCGAGAAGATGCCGAGTTTCGCTACTATCAGAAGCGATCTTATCAGCCGACACACGAAGTGGTGCGACGTGCAGCTCCAATCGCGCTCGCACAGAGCGAAGTCAGGCAAATTACGCCGGCGAGAAAACCAACTGAAAATACGTTCAAGCTCACGCATGCCCAACTGGTCAGCTTCGATGCTGCGCAGGACTATGAGGGCAATTGGAGCACAATCTATACTGTAGATTTGAGTAACAACCAACTGCAAGCGGTTAACTTGTGCGCATTCACGGCACTACAGCAAGTGAAGCTGGCAAACAATTCGCTCACCACCATACCACTAAATGGGAAAGGCGGCGCAACGAGCACAATCATAACACTCGATCTGAGCCAAAATCTAATCGCGCAAACGCCTGCTATACAAAGTGCCAGCCTACGCGAATTGCACCTCAGCGGCAATCAAATAACACAGCTGGCACATCTCAATCTCTCCATGCTAAGCGCACTCGAAACACTGGATCTTTCGTGCAATCGCATTGCCGAACTCGAAACAGCTTTCTTTCCGCAGCGCATGCACAATCTGAAACATCTCAATCTCGCTTACAATCGCATTGGCACCATCTACCGCGAGACTTTCTACAACCTACTCAGCTTGAATACGCTGCTCTTGAGTCACAACAACATCGTTGATATTGACTATGAGACCTTCTTGGCATTGCCGAATCTACAGTATCTGGATTTGTCCTACAATCAGCTGCGGGGTGAAGCTATTCGCGCCTTGCAGGGTATACCCGATTTGGTGCGACTCTCAATCGCCTACAATCCTGAGGTGGGTGCAGCTATGCAGGAATTCGTCGCTTCGTGGAGTCTAAAGGAGTTGGATGCTAGCGGTACGGGATTGTGTCAGATACCGGCGGCATTGGCACAATCGGTGAGGACACTCAAGCTGACGGACAATTGGTTGAAGGTGAGTGCACTCAAATAGGGTTACCACAAATTT